TTGACATGAGGAAGTAAACGCCTTGCTTTCACCAAAATGGTCACCTCCACACATAAACACAAGTCAGGTTAAAGAAAATGCTACGGTCACCCTCTGGCTCCATCCTACATTCTCTAACTAACATCTTCAATCTCTCCATCTCTTCTGGCAACTTCCCCAACTCTCTAAAACATGCACTAGTCACCCCCATACTTAAAAAGCCCTCACTGGACCCCACCAGTCTTAACCTGCTCCCTCATCTCCTTTCTCGTTTTTCCTTCAAACACTTTGAAAGTCTGGTCTACAACCAACTGAGTGACCATCTCATTGAGAACAACCTTCTTGATCCATTTCAGTCTGGATTTTGCCCTCAACACTCCACACAAACTGCTCTCCTAAAACTCTCAAAAAAAATCTACTTACAGATAAAACCAATGGACACTATTTTGTACTCCTGGACCTTTCTGTCTTCGGTCTCCAGGACTCTTCTCTGGTTCTCATCCTACCTCTCCCATTGCACCCTGAAAGCGTCACTTACAATTCTATTTCCTCATCTACCCCCCAAGGTTCTGTTCTTGGACCGCTTGATCTACACCTTTTCCCTGGGTCAGTTGATAGCCTCCCATGGTTTCCAACAACATTTCTATGCTAATAACACCCAAATCTATCTTTCTACACCTCAGCTCACTCCATTAGTCTCCACACACATCACTAATTTCACTAACAGACATATCAGTCTGGATGTCACACCACTTCCTCAAACTCAATCTACCAACAACTGAGCTCATAATATTTCCTCCCTCACGTGCACTTTTCCCTGACATGATCTCTGTCAAGATCAATGGCACAACTATCAACCTGTCCCTACATACCAAGGTGCTAGGTGTAATTCTGAACTATCCTTTCAGCCTCATATCCAATTGCTGTCCAAAGCTTGTAACATCTCCAAAATACATCCCTTACTAAACCATGACACCATAAGGCTTATTTCCTCCATCAGCGCATCCCCTGCAGTTATTTCCTTTTGCATCTCATGACCATCCCTCTTAGATTGTAAGTAGAGATGAGCGAATCGAACATGATGAAGTGGAATTCGTTTCAAAGATTGGGAAAAATTCGATTCGCGACGAATCCGAAGATTAGCAAACTTCGGATGCACGAATCGAATTTTCCCAAAAATGGCGGCGACATGTGTGGCGACGGAGCGGGGATCTCTGGGAAGGCGCGCAGACAAGGCACGCTGACCCATAATGCATTCATTCATGACATGTGATCGCATTAGCCAATCAGCAGCCAGCCAGCCAGCACTGTGTAATGGTGGAGCTATAAATCGCGGCCATCTTAGAATTCTCCATTAGCCTCCGGTCATTCAAGAGAGACAGACCTGTGTGTATGAAGGGACAGAGTTAGGGCCACAGAGACTTTAGGGCCACAGAATCGTTACTCAGGGACACAGAATCGTTACTCAGGGACACAGAATCGTTACTCAGGGACACAGAATTGTTACTCAGGGACACAGAATTGTTACTCAGGGACACAGAATTGTTACTCAGGGACACAGAATCGTTACTCAGGGACACAGAATCATTACTCAGGGACACAGAATCGTTACTCAGGGACACAGAATCGTTACTTAGGGCCACAGCTATCAAAGAATCAAAAATTTAAAGTGACATACACCCTTTTTTTTTTTTTTTGGTGGCTGTCGTGCACAGTTGGTGCTGCAGTTTGCCGATTGTGCAAAATAAACTGACTTTCTGCTTCACAACCACTATTGTACGTTCAAAGAGTTAAATCCATTTACACGCCGGCTGGCGGTAATATTTTTTGGGTGATTAGTGCATTCCAGTGACACAAACGTACAGTTTCCAGCCAACGGCAAGCTGCAATTGACCGATTGTGCTAAATAAACTGACTTTCTGCTTCACAACCACTATTGTACGTTCAAAGAGTTAGATCCATTTACACGCCGGGTGGCGGTAATATTTTTTGGGTGATTAGTGCATTCCAGTGACATAAACGTACAGTTTACAGCCAACGGCAAGCTGCAATTGACCGATTGTGCTAAATAAACTGACTTTCTGCTTCACAACCACTATTGTACGTTCAAAGAGTTAAATCCGGTTTTATTTTTGGGGTGCTTATTGAATTAAAGAGTATGTCAGACAACACGCAGAGGAGTGGCAGAGGAGGCAATGTTTCAGGAGCGAGCAGACGTGGCAGCAGAGGAAGGGGTCGAGGCAGCACTAGTCGCAGCCAGAGGCCAGTGCTCCCGGTGTCATCCAGCGGTCGTGTCTCCACCGACAACCCTGCCGTCATCGATTGGTTGACTCGGTCGTCTTCCTCTTCCCAGGTCACCTCTGACACCTACAGCCAACGGTCGGTGGGTACGTCAGACACAACCGTTAGTTGGCATGGCCCGGGAGCAAGCCCACTGAAATCACGTGTCCTCGACCTGCCCCTGTCCTTTGGTGTTCCCTCACCAAGCGAAGTATCGCATGCTGTGGGCTCAGCCCCACTGTACAGTGAGGAAGAGCTAACAGAGGGCGGTCAGGAACGGGGCGAGACATCCTCCTCTTCAGCAGCCAGGCGAAGAAGTACTGGCGAGGAGAGTGGCTCGGTAGCCGGTCTAGAGACAGGTCTGTCTCCTGACCCACACGCAGCCGAGGGGGCTAGTAGTGACGCGCAGACCCTAATTGATGATGAAGAGGCTGATCGCACTTGCCAGCCTCGTCGTCATCAGGCTATTGCTTCCGCATCATCAGGAGAAGAGGGTGCCAGCTTGCCAGCGAGCAAAACAGTCGGTGGGTTGCCCAGGAGGCAGCAGGGTCGCAGCAGTGTCAGTGGAGCCAAACGGCCACGGAGTAGAGCACCAGCTCCACTGCAGCCTACCACCACGGCCAGTAGTGGTGCCGGTGTGCACGGAGGAAGTAGCAGTCAGCCAGTGAGGAGTAGCGGGGGCAAAGTTTCCTACTCGGCGGTGTGGCAATTTTTCGTCAAGCCGCCCGAGGAAGTAAACGTAGCCGTATGTCGACTATGTGGCCAGAAAGTCAAGCGTGGCCAGGGGGCCCATGTTGGGACTACAGCGTTGCGTCAGCATATGCAGCGTCGCCATTCGGTGGCCTGGGAAAACCGTGATAAAGATACGGCGGTTCTGCCTGCCCCAGCCCCCGCTCCATCACCCCCTCCGTTACTTTTACTTGCTCCGTCACCCGACGTCAATCGCCCTCTATCAGCCAGTCAAGGCTCCAACACCTCTGCTGAGGGGAGTTGTCGCTCGTTGGCATCTTCCGCTCGTTCAGATGCTCCTTCTCCTGCTACTCCTCTTCACAGATTCCGTCAGCAGTCTTTCTTGGAATCCGTTTCCAAGAGACAACAGTTTGCGAGCACGCACCCGACGGTGCAGAAGCTGAACGTCCTCCTGTCCAAGTTGCTGGTGCTGCAGTCCCTCCCTTTCCAAGTGGTGGACTCAGCACCTTTCCGAGAAATGATGGCTTGTGCCGAGCCGCGGTGGAGAGTGCCAAGCCGGCATTTCTTCGCCAAAAAGGCAGTGCCAGCCCTGCATTCACATGTAGAAGAGATGGTGGGCCAGTCTTTGAGCATGTCGGTCTCTGCCAAAGTGCACGGCAGCGCCGACGTGTGGAGCTGTAACTACGGTCAGGGACAGTACATGTCATTTACGGCCCACTGGGTGAACGTGGTGCCGGCACAGCCGCACCAGCAACTTGGACAGGTCACGCGCCGCTTTTGCCTCCACGTTTGCACGTCCTTGGTCCAGCAAAGATGTCCGCCTCTACCACCTCTTCTTCCGCCGTGTCCTCAGCCGCCACCCCCGTGCCAAGTCCCATTACCCGACCGGCATATCACATGTGCAGGGCGCAACGGTGTCACGCTGTGCTGCACCTGGTATGCCTTGGCGAACGTAGTCACACAGGGGAGGAACTTCTGAGTGTAATGAACAGAGAAATCGACAGATGGCTGTCTCCGCGCAAACTGAAAATCGGAACCATGTTGACCGACAACGGAAAGAACATGGTGTCTGCTCTGCGTCAAGGAAGGTTGTGCCATGCGCCATGCATGGCTCACGTGTTCAATCTGGTTGTCAAGCGGTTCCTAAAATCCACTATCCCACTGCAAGACATCCTTAAAATGTCACGTAAACTTTGCATGCATTTCAGCCATTCCTACACCGCAAAGCACACCCTCCTTGAGCTGCAGCGGCAGAACGGAATTCCACAGCATCGCCTGATCTGCGACGTTGCAACAAGGTGGAATTCAACCCTACATATGTTAGACCGCCTTTACGAACAGCGAAAGGCCATCACCGATTTCCTGATGTTACAAGCGGATAAAGGTACTCCCCTGTGTAACTTAGATGTCAGCCATTGGCAGCTCATGCGTGACACCTGCCGCTTGCTCAGGCCCTTTGAGGAGGCCACGCTATTCGTGAGTCGGCAGGACTATGGGATGAACGACGTCATTCCTCTGTTGCACGTCCTGGAACAAATGCTGTTAACAATGGCTGGTCAGGGTGCGGTAGACGTGGCGCACAGATCTCAACGCCACATGACCCCTGTGGGGGCAGGACAGGAAGAAGAGGAGGAGGTAGAGGAGGACATTGGTGCTCAGGAATTATTGAGTGAAATGGGTGGTTTTTCCACTCAGCGGACAGGAGTGGAGGAGCAGGAGCATCTGGTAGAGGAGGAGGAGGAGGAGACAGAGGACCCAGACGCACCGTGGCAGTATGCTGTGGAGATGGAGGCAGGGAGTCCCTCGCATTCCTTGGCACAAATGGCCCATAGCATGCTCGGTTGCTTGCGTAGCGACAGCCGAATAATAACCATCAGACAGAGGGATGACTTTTGGCTGTCCACCTTGTTGGACCCTCGCTACCGTTCAAAAATGGTGGCCTTTTTCACACCTGCTGAGAGGGAGGCCAAAATAAAGTACTATAAAAAACCACCTATGTAGTCAGTTGGTCTCTGCCTTTCTGCGCCAACGTCCATCCTCAGACACTGTGGGCCCTGTGCGCTCGTATGGCCTTCAATTGAAGCTGCTTCCGCTCCGCCACTCTGCCATGGGCCCCTGTACCGCCTCCTCTTGCTGCTGCCAGGTCCAGAGTGTGTCATGGGTCCCTGTACGGCCTCCCATTGCTGCTGACTTCATCGCCAGACTCTGCCATGTGCCACTTTCAGGTCTCCTTACACTGTTGGTGGGTTCCATTTTGTGATAGCGTGCTGTATGGCCTTCCATTGCTGCTGCCTCCACCGCCACCCTGCGCCATGTGCCTCTGTCGTCTGCTCACGCTGCTGACGGCTTCCGCTTTTTAACCGAGGCCTGTGTTTGGCTTCCGAATACTGCTGCATCCACCGCCACCCTGCGCCATGTGTCTCTGTCGTCTGCTCACGCTGCTGACGGCTTCCGCTTTTTAACCTAGGCCTGTGTATGGCTTCAGAATAATGGCATCACCCCTACGGTAGACGTGTATTGACACGAAACGCGTCTAGGAGGAGCCTTCGCACGCCTTGACGTTACGCCGCCGGGTCAGGAGGTCCGGCGGCCCACCTTTGGTATTCACTGGTCAGTGTATAGAATCTTTTTTTCAAGCTGCTTATACTGGCTACAGGCTGCAGGCATGCGTTTTGTAACTTTTATGGCTTACGTTATTGGATTTAATAAATAATTTTAAAACACTACACTATGAGTATTTTTACTCCTTACATCTGGCACTGAGTTCCCATACCTCAGCCCCAGCATTTTCAGGTTCTCTGCGTGGATCCAAGGAGCAGTGTGATCCGACCAGGCCAGCATCGTCTTACCACCGACGGACCATCTGGGTACTATAAAGCAGCGCCTACATGGGACCCCGGCTACATATAACCTGTACATGCGTATTGATATTGCGCTTCTGGTAAGCAGGCAATTTATCTATTCCTGGGATTGGATTGCACCTATACTCCCTGAGAACCCCCATCACTGAACTGTTTATCATCTTCAATATTCCTATATTTGATGACCGCATATATAATTGTCACTTGGATATTATTTTTGTAGCGCTGCACTTTATTGTTTCTATTCTGGTTGGAAGGGCTTGTGGTTCCTTTTGTGCATTTGCCGCTCACTGAAGTGCGCTCACTTTTCTTTATTTTACACAGAATAATGCTGCCTACACCGCGACCCTGCGCCATGTGCCTCTGTCGTCTGCTCACGCTGCTGCCAGGTCCATACTGATTCATGGCCCCCTGTACCGGCTCCTCATGAACGTGGTTCAGCGGGTTTGCATCACTTAACGGCAAATCGTTGACAAACGCTGGGACGTTCAGTGTTGTGCGCATTAAGCCACACACCAAAGGGCAGCACAGACCACCTGTTATTACTCGCTCAAGCATGGCGTCGTCGACTATCAAGAGTCCAATGGCAGAGTGGCGGAGCAGAAGCAGCTTCAATTGAAGGCCATACACAGGCCTAGGTTTAAAAGTCCCTCACAGTTAATTCCAATAACGAACTCTACTCCTCCGTGCAATCTACTTACGAGACCCTGGGCAGGTCTGGGTCCAATTTGTGGTAGAGACTGGTTTTGTTCAGCCATGCTTGAGCGAGTAATAACAGGTCTGTGCTGCCACACTGTGGCTCCACACTCTGGTTTTGGCCCCGTGACTGCCCAAATGAGTGAAGTGTGCGGTGATTCTAAGATCGACGGCACTCATCTGCATGTCATACTGACTGACAGTATTATTTCTCTTCCCCAGCAGACTCCAAGGGCATTTAAATTAAAGGTACAGCTGCACTAATATAAAGGCTCTCTGAAGCCTAGAAACACCCTTTTTATAAGTTAAATTCGCGGCGAATATATTCGACTCGAATCAAATTTATTCTGCGCTTAATTCGGCGAATCAGCCGAATCCAATTTTTGAATAATTCGCTCATCTCTAATTGTAAGCTCTAATGAGGATTCCTCCTGTAGTGAATTGTATTGTAATTGTACTGTCTGCCCTCATGTGGTACAATGCTGAGAAACTGTTGGCGCTATATAAATCCTGTATTTCTGCATAATAATAATAATAATAATTCACTGATGTGAATGTACAATATAAATGTAAAGCGCTGCGTAAATTGACTGTGCTATATACATACCTGTAATAAATAAATAATAAAATAATAATAATAATATAAATGTAAACCAAACGTTTCAAATATTTGATATGTATGTGCCTGCTGTACCATGTATTTGTATGAAAAACTATCCTGCTCTCTTTGTATTGCTTCATTTGTGTGAAATCCCTGGTGTTTCTGCTAGTCCCTCTGCTTTCCTATCAAAAACTGACCACACTGAGCTGGAGAGCACAGCGTGGTCAGTTCTCTAGCTATGCTGTTCTCTACAGCTAAGCTGCTCTTCTCCAATGATCCGACTTGTCCTGACATGCCTCCTCCCTGCAGAGCCATTCACTGGGAAGATCAGTGTGCTTTGCCTTTCATTTCTATTTTAAATGGAATGGGTTGTTTTACAAGGTGAGGGTTTACATACATACTTTAAAGCAGTTATAGGGAAATGATCAGCTGTCAGGAGACCACAGACAATACGGGTGACCAGTCCTTTGCCCTCTGCCTGTCTTTTTTTCTGGCAAAGCTTCCAGATTTCATTTCCTCTATTTAGTATGTCTAGAATGTAAACAGATGGTATGGCATGTAGTTATTTGTAACAAAGTGCATCCTGCTGCTCCTTATAAGCAAACACGGAAGATCTCACAAACACAAGCAATACAGTTGTTCTCAAAAGTTTGCATACCCTGGCAGAAATTGTGACATTTTGGCATTGATATTGTAAATATGACTGATCATGCCACAAAATGCTCTTTTATTGAAGGATTATAATCATATGAAGCCATTTATTATCAAATAGTTGTTTGGTTCCATTTTAAATCATAATGATAACAGAAATCACCCAAATAGTCACGATCAAAAGTTTACATACCCTGGAATGTTTGGCCTTGGTACAGACACACAAGGTGACACACACAGGTTAAAATGCCAATTAGAGGTTAATGTCCCACATCTGTGGCTTTTTAAATTGCAATTAGTATCAGTATATAAATAGTTAATGAGTTTGTTAGCTCTTATGTGGAATCACTAACTAGGCTACATACTGAGCCATGGCGATCAGAAAAGAACTGTCAAAAGTCCTGCGTAACAAGGTAATGGAACATTATAAAGATGGAAAAGGCCATAAAAAAAGATGTCTAAAGCCTTGAATGTGTCAATCAGTACTGTTAAATCACCTATTAAGAAGTGGAAAGTTCTCTTGATACCAAGCCACACTGCATCAGTGTGAACCAGGGCTTAAAAGAGCAATAAAACAATGTATTCCACAGATTGACTGAATCAGCAAGGTGCCTTTGCAGTACAATCCAGCCCTGAGATAACAGGAGAGGAGAGCCGCACAGCGTACACATTGAGCTGAAGCACCTACTCAGCTATCAGTGGATTAGCTGGAGGGACAGCAGACGATGCATTTCTGGGTACACAGCCCCTTTCTCAAGTCTAATGGGAGCTCCATACACTAAATTATATATATATATATATATATATATATATATCCTACTGTACAGACACATACAAAAGTAAAAAGCGGTAACAATGTATAACTGGAATAGCCCAGCACTCTGTGACAACATATACAACATATATAGTATAAATAAATATACAAAATTAAAGTACAGAACTACAAACATCAGCAATCATAATGTACCTTAATAAAAGCTTGAAAAAATACATATATAAAAAGACATATTTGCATGAAATATATAATTTCAAGTTATGAAACTACTAAAAAAAATTTTTGTATTTTATATAAACAGTTTAAAAGTAATTAATTATTTTTTTAAGAATATAGTGGTTAAATTAAAGCAAAAACAAACAAAACTTTAATTTAAAAAAAATCACCATAAAATCATGAGCCATTAAAACTGTAAACTGTACCAAGAATTGACTATACAGGTTCTAGTAATCCTAATGGTATATTATGGTATTAATTTCGATTTCCTCATTTAGACCAAAAGGTGATAAGGAATTAGGGGTAAAGATTCAATACGTTTCTTTCTCACATGACCTTTTCAATCTCTCAGCAGGAAAAAAAATTTGCTGGAATCACCACAATGAACCAAGTTTTGGGACCCTCTTGGTACGCTATGTTCTATGTTGCCCTGCTTGATAAATCTACAGTGTTCACCAAAAAGGGCACTTAGTGTCCAGGTAGTACTACCCACATAAAGCAAATCACAGGGGCACCGTAGACAATATACCACAAATTATGTTGAACAGTTATAGAACCTGGAGCTGTTATATGGTGTGGTACCATGGGAGAATGTTTTCTGTCTGTGCTGTACAAACACTCCAGTAAGACAATCAAAGCAACCAGCCTTACGAAGGAGTGAGCATGCTCTGAACGCGCGCCATCTTGGAAACCCAGTCCATGCGGTGACATCATCCCTGTGAGCCTCCCTGCGCCCGTCTGCTACTCCCCGAGTCCTGGACACCACCGGAGTGGTGGGAAAATACCCAGAGCGTGGCCCAAGGACCTGATGCGGCCACTGGACCTCCATTACTTGAAATGCCTACCTGTTACCTACCTATGTGAGTGCAATTTTACCATTAAATCTGCCTGATTTTAACCATCTACACTTAGAGTGGCGCTGCTGTCTCTCTTTTCTAATCAAAGCACCTGTCACTAAATAAAATGGTAGGCTGACTGTCCTGTTTATACGTTGTGTTTGCTTCGCTTCACTTCAAAAGTTATACTCCATATTGCTTTCTTGGTGCTTCAAAGCAACTCCAAAATCTCCATTGAAGTATATGACAAAGCTCGCTAACAGCTTTTATTCAGCTTTAGCTTCACTTTGTTTTGGAAGTATTGCAAGTATAAAACATCCCAGGATGCACTGGGAAACCAACAAGTGAAAGATGTCATCAGCAGTCACTTTCAGTTGATGTGTATATATTCTGGAATTTTCTGATGCAGAGGTCACATCTGGTGTGAAGTGATGAGCAGCAGGAAGGTGAGCAGAGTCTGGAATGTAGCAACTAGCAGATGGCACACATGGTGCGCAACATGGGAACACTACAGCGGAAGGTGAGCAGGTATAGGAGAGAGAGAGGACTGAGTGATAGAGGATCAGCAGAGCTGAGGGACTGGAGCAGAAACTAGCAATGTCACAATGGTACGCAGCATGGGAGCAATACATCAGAAGGTGAGTGGGGATCAGAGAGATAGGAGGATCAGCAAACCAGAGGATCAGCAAAGCTGGTGTTTACTACTGAGAAGGTGATCCGCAGAGCTGGGGGTTACTACTGAGTGGGGGATCAGCAGAGCTGGGGTCTACTACTGAGTGAGGGATCAGTAGAGCTGGGGGCTACTACTGAGTGAGGGATCAGTAGAGGTGGGGGTTACTACTGAGTGGGGTATCACTAGAGCTGGGGGTACTGCTGAGCAGAATACAGTATATGCTGTACAAGGGTACTAATAAGCTGGGGATCTGCTGAACGATGGTACCAATGAGCTGGGGATCTGCTGAACAGGGGTGCTAATGAGTTGGGGATCTGCTGAGTGGGGGGGACTACTGAGCTGGTGTTCTACTATTCCCCTTTAAAACAAATCTAAAATCACCACACACAGGGCATTTACCAAGCTTCATTAAAGCTTCAAAAAAGCATCACTGAAGCATTACAGAAGCATTAATAATGTATCTGTAGATATAAACCAAATTAAAATTAAATTACATCGATAAGCCCATAAATAGTGCAACTCGTGTAATGAAAGAGCATAAGAATCAACCAAAAATGAATAGATCTCTAATTACCGTATTTTTCGCTCCATAAGACACACTTTTTTCCCCCCAAAAAAGGGGGGAAAAGTCAGTGCGTCTTATGGAGCGAATATGGAGCGGCCGGTCTGATATTTCCACCGCCGCCGTGTCAGAATACCGGGCCGGCCGCTTGTCTCTTCTCTGCAGCAGGACCTTACTTGTTCCTCGGTCCAGCGCTGTGCAGTCTTCCCGCACCAGTTTCTTTAGTGTGACAGCCGGGTGCCCAGTGCGCATGCGCGAGAAGTGCTGCGCTTTGTGAATGGTACGGCGTCTTCTGAGACACATGACAGGTCCCAGAAGACGCTGGACCAATCACAAAGCACAGCGCTTCTCATGCATGCGCACTGGGCACCCGGCTGTCAACCGGGTGCCCACAGTAAAGGGAGGATAACTCCGCGGAAGTAGGAGCGGGTACCTGTCAAATTCAGGTAATCACTCCCCCTCCCTCCCCAAAGGTCCGCAGTCTTTTAGTTACCCCTTGTACTGTTTGCAGTCTCTTGTCATCTCCTGTACTGTCTGCAGTCTCTGGTTATTTCCTGTACTGTCTGCAGTCTCTAGTCATCCCCTACACTGTACACAGTCTCTGGTAATTTCCTGCACCATGTCCGCAGTCTCTGGTCATCCCCTGCACTGTCCGCAGCCTCTTGGTCATCCCCTGCACTGTCCGCAGTCTCTTGGTCATCCCCTGTACTGTTCGCAGTCTCTGGTCATCCCCTGTACTGTTCGCAGTCTCTGGTCATCCCCTATACTATCCGCAGTCTCTTGGTCATCCCCTATACTGTCGGCAGTCTCTTGGTCATCCCCTGTACAGTCCGCAGTCTCTGGTCATCTCCTGCAGGGGCGGACTGACCATTCGAGCACTCGGGCGCTGCCCAAGGACCCGGAGTCAGTAGGGGGCCCCATGAAATGCCCCTGGTACCTTTTTTATAGGCTTTTT